AAATTCAAAAATTTTATTTAAAAGAGCTAATTTATTCCATTAAAACTAACAGGCAAAAATTTGGCATGTGTTGGCCGGAGAGTGCAAGAGGGGAGTTCCACTAGCCCCACTCTTTTATCAGATGTTCCCGAAGGAACCCATGTAGTCCCTATTGGTCAAGGAGCAATGCTAGGAACACTCGCCATTTGCATTCTCCAACCAACACTTCCATTTTCATTGGGCCTCGTTATGCTGATTTGGGAGAGGTCATCATTTCATGGCCAGGCAAGCTTACGTGGCCCAATAAAAAAGCGTGTTGACTGGAGAGTGCAGGAGGTGAGTGCTCTTAGCACTGTTCTTAGTCAAGTCTATATATCAAGCCTTTTTTTTTTTTAGATAGGTAATGAAAACTATATATCATGTACCAATCGGCCTGAGACCCAATGGTTGGTCTCCAAATTTTAGGGTTTGGGTGAAGTGGAGGTCAGGGCTTCGAGCCCTGCCACCGCCATGAACTCCACTAATTTGCAACCTAATGGTCTGTGCCTCATATGAAGGGTGGAACGTTCACCATCTTGAAAAAATTTCAGCTGCTAACAAAACTAACTCTACTAATTTCTTAACCATTTACCTGGTCAAAAAAAAAAAAAAAACTATATATCATGTCCTTATCATTCCAACAGTATATCTTACTCAACTCTATATGTCATGTCCTCTAAAAAATATGACATGAAATCCATGTTTCATGTCTTTTATCATTCCAACAATATATCTTAGCCAAAGTCCGTCGCGGCTCTATGGGCCATGTTTTAAGCAATGAGTATATTTTCTATCATTCCCACATGCATCTTTTGACTATATTTTCTATCATTCCCACGAACAACATCTTTAAAAGTTAACTTTTTCTTTAATTAAATTGCTGATATTTTCACCTATAAATAGCTAGTTGCACTTTGTTCCTGAAAATAAACCCTAAGCACATACCCATTTCAATACATTGTTTCGATCTAGTTCATTTTCATTAATTCCACCAATCCTAGTTAAGTCCATCATGCCTCTGTCAACCCTTGTCGCCAGAAAACCACTGAAACCCATTGACAGGCTCAAAAGGTTTGCCATCCCAACAAAGGCATTACCCTTGTTCCCACAATTCAATGGTCATCATTTCGTGTCTGTGGACTTTTGGCATGGCTCAAAAAGTTGGCCTATGGTCATATCCATTCGCACGCACGGCTACAAAAAACCTGTAATCTCTAAGGGTTGGATACCCTTTGTCCGCGAAAATCAGTTGGAGGTTGGTGATGTAGTAATAATCTTCAGGGACGAAGACAAAGCCGGAATCTGGTATCGGATTGAGATCGAGAGAGGGAGCAGGCCACTTCCTACTCTGTATCGTGACCTTGAAGAGCAGCAGGTGCCAATATTTCCCCGCAGTAATATCAATGAGGGAACTGCAAACAGTAATGTCAATCTAGAGGTCGTTGCAGCCAACATCCTTGCCATCAAACAAGAGACGCAACTGGCCCCTGCAAATGTTCCGCCAATTGCTCAGAGGGCTGAAGAGCTCAGTCTGAAGCCAGATAACGTGAATTTAAGGTTGATAGTCGACAAGGGTTCGCAAACACCCATGTTGGCTGGTACACTTCTGTAATTGCACCAAACCAGAAGTCCTTTTTCAGTCCGTGTCCGCACTCCGGATTGATCTACAAAGCCCCGAGGTGGAATTCGGGGTAGACACTCCGATACTTAAGTCAGTCATAATCGGAGCTACCTTTAGAGTGGAGATAAAAGGAGCTTAGGGTTTGTTTCAATTACCTTTTTGGCGTGGCCCCTGGGGGGTATTTATAGGCTCCAGTGAGGAACCCACATGGCATGCCAAGCAAGATAATTGGAGTTTGACGTGTCTCTCTAGACGATTATTTCGAGATCGGGAAATTGAGAGATATTCAGATGCGAGAATGCCCATCGTAACTGCTGTGCAGCTTGTCATAAGGAATCAGGTGCGGGCATGCTTATTGTCGCAATCATGCAGCTGTTTGAGTAGGAAGTGTTGGATTTATCCTTCACTTCGATTATAAAGAATTGTTGTCGTACGTCCGAGGTTGGGCACCTCAGACCTATCCTTACACTATTCCCCCCTCGAAGTCATTCACTTGTGAATGATGTGGTAAAGGGAGTATATGATAGCAGGTGATAAATATGATACAAGATCAGCTGATGTGAAAAGCATTTTATGTAGCTACAGAATACTGTTAAAGTATGTGACGCTGGGTCATTATGGCCAGAACTGAGGTAAAACATATGGCATTGGGTCATTATGGTCGGAGCCGAAGTGAAACGTGTGACGCTGGGTCACGATGGGCCGGAGGCGAAGTAAAACGTGCCGCTGGGTCACTGTGGGCCGGAGCCGAAGTAAAACATGTGACATTAGGTCACTGTGGCCAGAGCCGAAGTAAAATGTGTGACACTGGGTCACTGTGGCCAAAGCCGAAGTGAAACGTGTGACATTGGGTCACTGTGGCCGGAGCCGAAGTGAAGCATGTGACACTGGATTACTGTGACCAGAGCCGAAGTAAAGCATGTGACACTGAGTCACTATGGCCGAAGCCGAAGCGAAAAATAGTGGCCGTAGTCATGTGGGCCGTAGTCGAGATGAATGTAGTGACCGTAGTCGTAGTGGTTGTTAGCGGAAGAGACAAGTATGACCAGAGTCATCAGGTCGGTTGCCGAAGTAAAACACTTGCAAAAATTTAGAGTGTGTAACCGTAACTGTCATGCAGCTGTTTGACTCCAAAGTGCTTCACTTCGATTATTAAGGAATTATAGCAGTACGTTCGAGGTCCTTAACCTCGGACTTATCCCTACACTATTCCTTCCTCGAAGTCATTCACTTGTGAATGATTAGTGTGGAAGATGAGTGTAGATGGGGGTAGTCAATATAAAAATGTATGACATGAAGTCATGTTTGTCATAACCCAATTTTAATTGGGGCTAAATGATAAAATTAGAAGGCAATGGACTATTTTCTATAAAGGCTGAAAACTTGAAGGGTTGAGAAGGAAAATGGCAAAACGACGTCGTTTTGACCAATGGGCTAAAAAATAAAAAGGGGCTGGGTTCAGACAAACCCTAGCCCTCAATTTTTCTTGCTTCCTTTTGCTTTGCCGCCAGCCACTCTCCCAAAAGCTCCCAAAATCTTTTGATTTATCTCTAAATCCATTCAAAGTTTGGATAGATCACAACAACACAAGAAGAGATTTTCGGATTTGAAGTCCTTATCAAGAGTCGCAGAAGATTTTTGAAGTCGATTCAAATTGGGAGTCCTGATATTTTAAAGGTATGAATCTAGCCTTAAAAGAGGGAAGATGTGCAAAGAACTAGATTAGTTTTAGAATTTCAAATTCTAATAGGGCTAGATTATT